AAAAAAAAAAAAAAAAAAAAAAAAAAAAAAAAAAAAAAAAAAGGGAGGAGGTGGGAAAGGAACCTGAACGCCGGAAGCCGGGGTTGGGGGAGGTCGCTGCTGCTGCTGGATGCCATCGTACCGGGATCGTCGAATTTTTTTCCCCCTTTTTTTTCTTTTCTTTTCTTTTTTTTCTTTTTTGTATTCTCTGTTTCAGGTGCTACTGCTGGATGCCATCGTACCAAGATCGTCGAATTTTTTTTTCTTTTTTTTCTTTTCTTTTCTTTTTTTCCTTTTTTGTATTCTCTGTTTCAGGTGCTGCTGCTGGATGCCATCGTGCCGGGATCGATGACAAGTAACTGAAAAAATGGAACCAATTGATGCGATATATCGCATGCCATTCTGACACAAAATACCTCTTCTCTTTCTATCCTTGCGTTCAAGTCTCCAAGCTGGACAATTGACTCGGTACAGATTTTCAAAAAAGCACACCTCTCGCGCTCTTAAAGGGGAAACATCGCATTCGGAGAACCGGAAACACTCATTATTTCCCGAAAGTACGGAGCATTTCCGGTTTCATTAGCTGATTGCCGAAGCAGTCTCTGAATGCGCGCGTATGCATTTATAAATTTTCTAGAGGTACAAGGTACACTTAGTGCGCTTTTCAAATGATAATTGGTGGCCAAAACTTGAGTTCCAATTTGATCCAAGTGCTGATATAGGACCTGAAGGGGGGGGGGATGGGGTTCCTAAGAGAGTAGGAAGCATAAAGTAATATATTGACGTTAATAGAATTACGGAAAATTTTAAATGGATGAATCATGTCACGATCGTTACGGAAATGTCACAACCGTCACACTTTTTTCAGAGTCATAAAACAACTGCCAATTTTTAAAGTTCACTATTTTCTAACAATGTATAAGATTTTTGGAGGCGTAGGTTCAGATATTAAAGAAAAAAACAAATATGGTTGATATTTTATCCTTAAATCAAGAAATATTGTTTTATTTTCCGAGGAAAAAGCTGAAAAATCTGCAAAAATTAGAAAACATTTGCTATGTTATAATGAAGATTTATACTGGGTCACTATTTTTCGTTGTTTCACCTCTTCATAGGACCTGACAGCAGGCCCGCCACAAGAGGGGGGATACTGGGTCCTTGGTACCAGGGCCCGTGACGCAGGTGACAAACCACTACGAATTCATGTGTAACCCTTGTCTCGAAAGGAAAAGTGAAAAAATTACCCTAAAAATTCCGCAAAAGGTGAATAAAGTTTCAAAAACACGCTAGGAAACTTTAAAATTTTTCTTACTTTTTTAGAGATTTCTATCTATTTTCAAGATTTTGAGTATATGTAGAATGATATTTTTAGGAACTGCGTTTCATTTTCTTCCGTTGTCGGATGCTATGAGGCTCCTGTTTGCATCCTCGACTTCAATGGCTCAACTCCCTTTTCATAGACGTACGGAAGGGGAGTCCAGGGGGCCCAGCTCCCCCTAGAATTGAAAAGTATCATCTGCCCCCCTCAAAAAAAAATTACAGATGTTTTGAATGCAACAATTCGAAAGTATTTGGTGCTGAAAGTAAAAAAAAAAAAGGCGTAATTATTCTGCAGAAATTGATGGAAAATCTCCATCATAAGAGCTTTAAAATGCGTCCAAATAGATTTAAAATTTCAAAAATTTCCCGGGGGTGGCCCCCCGGACCCCCTCTGTGCTAGGGGCCCGGACCAGAAAACTGGTACCAGGGCCCGAGATGGGATGTGGCGGGCCTGCCTGACAGTATAAAAAACAAAATAAAACCGCATATTTGACCATTTTTCTCTTTCTGATGGACCAAAATAATCGATGTGACGGTCGTGACATCCAGGATCTATTTTTAAAACAATTGCTCATAAAAAAAAAAAAAAAACAAGCAGTGAACTCCAACACAATGTGTTGATAAGGCGCGTCATTAACTCGCACATATCAACCCCTTTAGTTTTCATTTACAGAGATTTCAAAATAGGCAAACAGCATAAAAAGAGAATTCACGATCCAACACTGCGAGGTCAAAGACGCACCTTGACGAGACCGTGTATTGTGAAAGTAGAAAGCTATTCGATCGAATTTAAGTTTTTTGATCTGCCTCAAGCAAAATCTTATCAGATTCTTGAAGAAAAGTGCTACGGAATAATTTAAGCGAAGAAAGGAAAAATTCTGTCGAACTCCTAGAAGATAAAGTCGATTTAAAGGTATTTTGGGGCTAAAATACCCAAATCACCGGTAGTAAAAATCCCGTTATATTATTGAAAAGAAATTGACTCGATATAA